ATCTAGTGGAGGTAAATTGAGTAGAAGTAACTGAATTTTCAGAAAAGAAAAACAAAAAAGGCAAACATGTCCGAACAAAAATATAGGGTTCAATTAAGAAATCTGATATTAATGTCTACTAATAGTTCAAGCTGCTCTGAAAGAATTGACAAGAAACAAGGCCCCAGAAATTGACAGCATACTAATTAGCATATTTAAACAGATGCTGCCCTGAGTGAACTCACCAAGTTGTGCCAAGAAATTTGGAGGACAACCACCTGACCAACCGACTGGAAGAGATCTTTGTTCCCTTTTGAAAGGAGACCCGACAGAGTGTGGAAATTATTGAACAATATCATTAATATCACATGCAAGTAAGAGTCTGCTGAAAATTATCTAAAAGAGAACTGCCAGATGTGCACGCTGGATTTAGAAGAAGCCTTGGTACTAGGGGTATTATAGCTAATGTTAGATCTTGGCTGAAAGCAGGGAGTACCAGAGGAATATCTATCTGTTTCATTGACTATCCAAAGGCATTTTACTGTGTGGATCATAACAAAGTGTGGCTAACTCTGAGAAGAATGGGAATCCCAGAACACTTGATCATGCTTATGCAAAATCTATACTTGGACCAGGAGGCAGCCGTAAGAACAGAGCAAGGAAACACTGCATAGTTCAAAATGGGGAAGGGTGTACACCAGGGATGTGTCCTATCCATTCCTTTTCAATCTATATGCAGAACAGATCACCCAGGACCCTGGGCTCTATGAGGAGGAGCGTGGTATCAGGATTGGAGGAAGACTCATCAACAACCTGCATTATGCAGATGACGCAACCTTGCTTTCTGAATCTGAGGAGGACCTGAAGCACTTGCTGCAGAAGGTCAAGGACTACAGCATTCATTATGAATGAAAGCTCAACATCAGGAAAACAAAGAATCTCACCATTGGGCCGATTGGCAGCATCATGATGGATGGTGAAAAGATTGAGATTGTTAACAGCTTTACTTTGCTTGGCTCCACAGTCAACACTGTTGGTACCAGCAGTCAGAAAATCAAAAGATGAATTTCACTTGGAAAGTCTGGTATCAAGGAGCACTCTAGAGTACTTAAGAACAAGAGTCAGGAGACTAAGGTGTACCTGACCCAGGCCATGGTCTTTGCAGTTACTTGCCGTGTGTTGGAAAACTGGACAGTGACTAGGGATGATAGGAGAATTGATGCCTTTGAGCTGTGGTGTTGGACAAGAATATTGAATAGGCCATAGACTGCTAGTAGAAAAAACAAGTTTGTCCTAGAGAGTGTGAGACCAGGCTGTTCCTTGGAGGCAAGGATTCTGAAGCTTCATCTGACATACTTTGAGAATGTTGCAAGAAAGGACCAGTTGTTGGAGAACGAAATCATGTTTAGAAGGGTGGAGGGACAAACCAAGAAAAAAAGACCCTCAATGAAATGGATTGACTCAGTGATTGGGATAATGAGGTTATATGTGTTAAAGACAGTATGTATGACGCAGGATAGAGCAGGGTTCACGACTATTGTATATGAGGTTGCTATGAGTCGCCAATGACTCCATGGTGCATAACAACAACAGTCATCTATGAGTTAATCTTACTGTGGTAGCCTACATGTTGCAGTGCTGCTGGAAGCTACATCACCACTATTTCAGTCACATGCAGGGTCACTCCTGGTGGACAGATTTCAACAGAACTTCCAGACTAATACAGACTAGCTGGCCTACCCATCTACTTCTGAAATAATCAGCCCTTGAAAAACATGTGAATTGCATCAGAATTGAACAGTACCTTGTTGGAAGATGAAGCTCCCAGGTTGGAAGGCCCCCAAAATGCAACTGGGGAGGCTCTGCCTCCTCAAAGTGGAGTCTGCTTTAATAATGTGACAGTGCTCTTACCCAATGAAGGACAACCTTCATTTGCTGATATAACATGACTAGAATGAGAAAGAGATGAAAATGTTCATTGATAATTATAACACAGAATATATGAAGTATGAATGTAGGAAAACTAGCAGTTGTAAAAACTGAAACGGAACACATACAGATTGATAACCTATCCATTTCTACTCTTATGTGCCATTGACTCAGAATCAACTCAGAACTGACCCTCCAGCAGGTTTATAGGGACTATAAATTGCACAAGAGATTTGCCTATCTTTATCATACAGAGTGGCTAGTACATTCGGGCTGCCTGCCAGTTGACAGCGCAGCTCCTTACCTCTAAGCCACCAGAATGCCCTATCTGGTGCATTAGTAGGCTATTATTTACCTGTTACTGAAATGGACTATTATTTGCCATTTTGAATGAATAACCAACCATATGGCCTACTATGCCACGAATGAAAAATTGAACAGTGGTGTTGCATTCATTGTCAAAAGAATATTTTACAATCTGTCCTGAAGTGCAGTAATGTCAATGCTGGAATATGTACCCATAGGAATACAAGGAAGACCTGTTGATGTGACTGTTATTCATATTTATGCACCAGCCACTAAAGCCAAAGAAGAATAAACTGAGGATACAAACTATAAACTTATACACTCCAAAACTGATTGAAATGCAATCAAGATACATTAATAGTAACTGGTGATTGGAATGAGAAAGTTGGAAACAAAAAAGAAAAGCTGGTGGTTGGGAAGTACCCCTTAGAGATAGAAATGAGGCCAGAGGCCACATGATAGAAAGTTGTATGACCAGTACCTTAATCACTGCAATACCTTTTTTTAAGAAACCCTGGACCTCACTTGATGGAACACACAGGAATCTAATTGTCTACATCAATGGAAAGAGAGATGGTGGAGAAGCTAAGTGTCATCAGTCTGAACAAGGCCAGGAGCCAACTTGAACTAGAACACCAGTTGCTTATAAGCAAATTCAAGTTGAAGCTGAAGAAAATTTTAGAATATTCATAACCTTGAATTTATCCTCCCTGAATTTAGTAACCATCTCAAGAACAGACTTGATGCATTGGACACTAGAGATCAGACAAGTTATGGGCTGGCATCAAAGACATTATATATAAAGAAAGCAAGAAGTCATTTTAAAAGACAAAAAAGAAAGAAAACATGAAAATGGATTTCAGAAGAGATTCTGAAGCTTACTGTAGAGAGCATTTTGTTGTGTGCCATCGATTTGGAACCACCCATCACTGACTCTCCAGCAGGTTTTTAGAGCAGTAAAGTGCATGGGAGGTGCTGCCTCTCCTTTATCCACAGAGCAGCTGGTGAATTTGACCCTCTTGCTATGGCATTGCAGCACAACCTCTTATCTCTACACCACCAGAGCTCCCTGCTATAGAGCATAGAGGAGCTAAAGCAAAAGGAAGAACTATGAAGTAAGAAAGCTGAACAGAAAGATTTCAAAGGGCAAATATGAACAGACAAAGCAAAGTATTATAATGAAATATGCAAAGACTTACAGTTAGAAAATAGAATGGAAGAATGGAGAGTAGCATTTGGGTTCTTAAAAGCTTGTGAATGGCTATCAAATGTACACCTTTTGGTTTCTATTTACCAAGGCCAGAGAATAAGAAGGAAACCAAAGAATTGGAGAAGGAACAAGTATACAGGGCCAATAGCCTGCAGGACTCCCAGCCTCATCTGTGCTGAACCAGAAGTAGATGGTTCCTGGTTACAATTACCAACCCTTCTGATCTGGATCTCAACACATAGTCCCAGGTAGAATGGGTGAAAATTGTAGAAAAAACTAAAATTATTTTGGGGGTCATTTAGCAAAAAAAATGTATTCCCTTCCAGTGTAGAAAGCTAGAAGTTCCCAGTTAGAGTCCAAGCTCTGGGGAAGGCCTTTGTTTTCTCTGTGTGTCTTCTGGTTCTCATTTCCCCAGAGCAGGACCCTACATCCAGTGGATGCACTCTACTCCCACCTTGTCTGTCTTGGTGGTGCTGAGGTTTCCCTAAAAGGTAAATTCTTTACAAAAATTATCTTTTGCCATTCTTATTCATTTTCCATCTCTCTGTTACATAGCAGGTAATTGAGAAGACCATGGCCCTGAATCAAGCATACTTTAGTCTTCAAACTGGCATCATTGCTCTTTAGCAGTTTAAGGTCTCTGACAGTGGACTTAGCCACTGCAATGCATTGTCTCATTTCCTGACTATTTGTACCAGTGGTGTTGATTGTTGATCCAACCAACAAGAAATTATTGGTATCTTCAGTCCTTTCTGCATCTGTCGTAATGTTGACTGTTGGTCTGGGGAAGATCTTTGTTTTCTTGATTTTTGACATAATCCATACAAGAGTCCTTGATTTTCTACAGCAAATGTTTCATATCTTCCTCATCTTCAGCAAGCAAAATTGTATCATCTGCATAACATAGGTTGTTGATGTGTCTTCCTCCAGTTCTGATGCCACAGTCGTCTTCTTCAGAGTTCTGCTTAGTGAATTATTTGCTTAGCAAATACAGATTGGACAGATATGGAGAAGGAATATAACCCTGATTCACGCATTTCCTGATTTTTAAACCATACAATTTCCCCTTGCTCATTTCAGATAACAGCTTCTTGGTCTAGGTATAGATTTCATGTAAGCACAAAGGATAGTACCTGTAAGTATGTTGTTGTTGTATGCTATCAAGTCAAAACTGACTCATAACTGACCCTCCAGTGGGTTTTCAGAGGCAGTAAATGTCACAGGAAAAAATATTGCCCAAACAGTCCTCTTCTGAAAAGACTGTACAAGACCAAAAGAACAACATTTATTCTATAGCAAAGATGGGAAGGTAAGGAAAGCTAAACTAGAGTTCTGGAAATGAAGCAAGAGAACATAAGAGGATGTTGTTATATTATGAAATGTGAAAATAATGCCACTGAAGATCTTTTAGAAATTATCAAATGGCAACCTCATTTACTGGGTAAACTTTCACCAAAACCATAAAAATATTACTCTTAATTTTTAAAAAAAAAACCATTGCTTTTGAAATTATACTCATTTAGGCATTCTTTTAATTTGAAAAGGTTTTGAAGGCCATCTGTTTATTCTTTTTTAGGCCAGCTTTAATGACTGCTGTTGATGGAAGACATAATGTTGTCATTCAGGTGGGCTCAAAACTGATAGCGAAGATTATCCTCAACATTTCTCCTGACTGGCTGAGCAAAGTTATAGGTAATATATCAACATTCCATCAAGAGGCAGTTCTTGGTGAAACTATAAATTTTTAAAATTTAGGTTGCTTATTTTTCATTTCAATGAATATCTACAGAGATTTTGGGATTCCATTCATTCATTGTTGC